CCCCCTGGCGGCGGCTGCCGTCTGTGAAGCCTCCCGGGCCTCGCTGGGGACGTTCAAGCTTCGTGTTCTTCAATCGCCCGAAGCTTTCGGGCTTTTTCTCTTGCTTGGGGTGGGGGGTGGATGCAGACGCCTCGCCGGCTGCCACTTGCTGGCGGGGCCTCGTCCTGGGCTTGGTGTTCGTTTTGCAGAACAACTTGTTGTTGTTGCTCAGATGCTAACTGGGAGGCTGATTTACTTTTTCTCACGGGGGACGTCGGCGTGAAGTCTTGTGGTCTTCCCCCCCCCCCTTGGGGAATGGATGGTGGCTTCATCTGGAATTGTGCTGGGGAGGGGGCGAGGGGATGGATGGATGAATGGCTTTGGGTTGGACGCACCCAGCACCTTTCGCAACGTACCTGTGTTTGGCTGCGTCGAGGAGCGATGGCGTCAATGTGGGTGTCGGAGGGAGGGGGAGGAATTGAGAGGAAGTCCCCCCGTTTGGAGCTGCGCGTTTAGAACCCGCCCCGAGGCTCCTCCGTGGGCGCCGAGGCCCGTGTCCGAGCCCTGACCTGGGAGCGCGTGGTCCTTCCCCGCGCGCGTCTGTGCCCGCCCTAGCTGCTGGCTTTCCGCAAGCCTGGTGTGAATGTATCACGCAGTCTACCCATGGGTGCTCTTGTCTGTTTCCAAAAATGACAGCTATTTAGTTTGAGATCAGCTAATTTTTTTTTTAATTTTTTTTTAACCGTTTGACCCTTTCTTAAAGCCATCTCCACAGAGATGTGTGGATTTTCTCAGTGCCTCGGCTAAGGATGGAAACCGGAGCCAACAACTAGCTTCTCTGTCGTAGAAAATCGGAGAGCCCCTCTACACTGCAATTTGCTGATGAAGTTGAGGCAGTGAAATGTCCTGGGGGTGTGAGGTTACGCCTCCTGGCACAGTGTGTTGCATTGTTGTGCGAAATCATCATCAGGTATTGATGCAACTTCACGCCATCCCTGACCTGCTCGCTGGCGAGCCGGCATTTCTCCTTTCGTAATCCCTCACCCTTCTCAGAGGCACAGAAAGAACAGGATCGGGAAAAACAGCTGAGGGTGCTTCTTAATGTCTGGTTTCTGTAGTTCAGACCCTTCTGTAAAATTGGAGGTTGTGTGTTTCCCACCTGTTACGAGGAGCCTGCACAAAACATGCTGGCAAAGCCTCTGCGTTTTACAATGTTGAGGTCCCAAGGAGATGTTCTCACAGTGGTGAACACACAGGTGATTATCTTTGTGATTTCAGAGTTGTTTAGGTCAGTGAATTAACTCTTTATAAAGCCAAAAGCCATTTGGGTAAATAATGCCCTCCCCACTTCACAAGATTGTTTTGTGGATCAAAAAAAGGTCATGTTTGTAAAACTGCTTTGTAAAATAAAAGGTATATATCAGGTTGATTATTCAGTAATCAGTTTTATGAAAACACCATCTAGGGCCCTCCATCTGCTGGGCATTTTGGAAAGTAGGTGCTAACGATTCTAAGGCAAGATAGGTTTTGGTCTCAGGTCCCCTGCAGTCTAGCTGGGCATCCAGACCAGGCAGCCAGTTAAGTTCTGTGTGTTGTAGTGTAAGAAGTGCCCTGAATCCATCCAGGCAGGGGTTGTTCTCAGTGCCAGCACAGCTTCCCCAGCCTTCCCTGTTGTTCTGCAGGAAGCCTACCTTCTATAAAAACTTTTTTAAAATTCTGTCATTTCTTTTCTGCTTTTATTCATTCACTGTCATGACACTTCCCACACAGCATGCCCCAGTTACTGTTTCTGCATTCTCAAAAATCCAAGGGAGAACCTTTCTGAGAGTGAGTCATACGCACAGGCAATTGACACAAACACGGCAGCTGCAGTTAAAATCTCTCGGATTACTGAGTGGTGGTAATTTAGAGGGACTGTGCTGCTGTCTTTGTTTTGTAAACTGGTACAGGAAGCACTGTATGGTTTTAATTTGATCACAGTTAATAATGTTTCGTTGTCACTCAGAGTGTTGACTGTAAGTGACTGTTAGTACCGTCTCCTTTCTCCCAGTAATAAGTAAAATGAGAAGGTCCTTTTCCTTTTTGTGTGAAACTGACCGCATAAGCCAGAACTGTACTAAACTGTTTTATAGAGTTTGTTCATGTGAATTGAGGTTGCTTAGTATTTCTGATAATGAGCTTCTGTATCCCACTGCAAGTTCCTCATCTCAGTGCTGTGCTAGTGTTATAACTAGTTTTCACGTTGTTGCCTACATTCCAGAAATGTTATAAGTTTTAGGATATGTTTTTATTGATTTTAGAGAAGAAGGGGGGGGAGAGAGAGAGAAACGTTGATGTGAGAGAGACATCGGTTGGTTGCTTCCTGCACCCACCCTGACCGTGACTGGGGACGAGCCTGTACCCCTGGCTGGAATCGAACCCTGGGACCCTTCAGTCTGCAGACCGACACTCTAACCACTGAGCCAAACTGGCCAGGGCTAACCATTTATTTTAATATAGTAATTAAGGTAGGCTTTGGCCCCCGGTGGACCCAGGCTCCCACCCTAGTTCTGTAACTTTCCTTCGTTACAGACCTTAGCTTCTCTAAGTCTGTTTTCCATCTATTAAATGAGGATAATGGTGTCTATTTTATGGGGAAATCAGATGTGGGGGTGCATGTGAAATTCGTAGCACGTTGCCTAGTGTGAAGTGAACACTCGGATCTTAAACATTATTGTATTGTTGTATGGACATGAAGGCTGGGACAAGGGGAGCTTACCGCCTGGTTTCCTACTGTGCAGTTGCAGGGCCTCCCCATCTGGCATTAGGAGGACAGGTTTTCTTCTCTGTGGTGCTCTCCTCCTGTCCTTGAGGGGGAACTGGGCTGATTCGTGGCTTCACTTGACACTGCTGCCCTGATGTCTCTCAAGTTCACCCAATGTGGTCTTTCTTCTGTGCTTCTTGGTTTTCCAGGGATGTTAATAGAGCATATCCTCTAACTCAGCTCCAAGTATTCACAGCTGAGTCCATCGTTTCACTTCTCCCTTCAGATAAAAACCTTCAGCACTACGTTCCCTCCTTAACATTCCCATTTCTGTGGATGGAATAATTGTATTCTGGTCTGATAGACCATATACCTGGGAATCATTTTTTCATACTCTTTCATCTCTTGTGCCCTGCCGTGTAATTCTGTGCTACCTTCCTCAGGATCCTTCAGACTTCCATGTTCCTTAGATTTGCTGCCGCGACTCTAGACAAGGCTTTTTTGAGGGGAAGGCAGACTGAATTGGTGTTCAGGTTCTTAGCTGGCCTTGTTGCTAGCGCTCTGCCATGTGCTAATTGTGTGATCATAGTCTCTTCCATATTCAGAATGGAGTTGATAGTTCCTGCCTCCTGGCATACGTATAAAATATTTAGCTAGAGGCCCAACGCATGGAAAACACTCAGTAAACAGTAGCTGCTGTATTCGAGCTCTTCTTCTTGGTAATCTTTGGAAATAGTGATGGCTGAGGTGGCAGCTCATGGCAGGCCAGTCTGACAGGACTGTTGTCTGAACGCCTTCTCCTCTGGTTGAGAACTTAGGGTAACTCATTTCTGTTTCTCTCCCCTACTTATTGTTGGCGCTTTCCATATGGCCCTCATTGTACATTTCTAGTCTTATTTTTCGTGACACCCATCATGCAGTCCGTTCAAGCCAGGAGAGTCTCTCTGCCTCCCATACATGTCATGTTCATCTGTACAACTGGAACATTCACTTTCCTAGGTAGCAGGTTTTGGTTTTTTGGGGTTTTGTGGGGGTGTTTTCTTCTACCCATCTTTGTAGAGTATCTCCTGTATGTTCTGTCATTTAACCACTGTTGCCCTTGCAAAATTCGGCTAAAGTTCCCTAAAAGAGCCTGGCTGGCGTGGGTCAGCTGTTGAGCATCAACCTATGACCCAGGAGATGCTGGTTTGATTCCTAGTCGGGGCACATACCCAGGTTTCAGGCTTGATCCTCAGTAGGGGGTGTGCAGGAGGCAGTTGATCAGTGACTTTCTCATCATTGATGTTTCTGTCTGCCTCTCTCTCTCTCCCTTCCTCTCTCTGAAATCAATAAAGATATATTTAAAATAAAATAATAAAAATATATCGTAAAAGAAATGAATTGTCCTAATTAATTCCTGTCAAATAGCTTAAAAGGGATGTATCATGCACTACAATTCATATGTAATATTTTTAGTGCCTTATAGGCGCATTTAGTGCTTATATGCTAAGCACTAAAACATTCATTCAGCATATATAGCAGGTCCTTGATGTTTTGTTCAGTGTCGGTCCCATATATTGTCGATGAGATGCCGTAGTAACTTAACTTTTGTGTATGTCAATTATCCTGTGGTAAGATTGGGTTTGTTATATGAGGTTTTGCACAAAGTTGCAGACCGTATTGATGACGTTAAGTGTGGAGTTTCTTTACTTTTGATTCTTACCGGTTGATGTTCTTAGAGTTTTCTGAAGCATTACATGATCCCAAGTGTCTGTTGAATTCATCTTGCCTTTTTGTTTCATTGGTCCATTCATTCAACATTTATTGAATGCTGCTGTGTGCTAGGCACGGTTCAAAGTGTTAGGGATACAGTGGGCAAAAATAGATAAGGTCACCAATTTTCTGGATCTTAGTTTGAGTTGGAGAAAGAAATTAATGAATGAACAAAATTTCAGCTAATAAGAACTACAAAGAAAACAAAACAAGATGATGATGATGATGACAACAACCTGGGGCACAAAGGGAGACTAATTTCAGTCATGCACAGCCTAACAACCAGGATACCTTCTGAGAGATGCATCGCTAGGTGATTCTGTTGTGCGAACGTCATAGAGAGTGCTTATACAGATTAAGTGGTACAGCCCACTGCACACGCAGGCCATCGGGTATACCATCAGCACATACATGGTCCATCCTCTACAGAAACGTCATTGTGCAGCGCACGACTGTAATCGAGGTTGGTGGTTTAGAGAAGGTGATGTTCGGGCTGAAAGATACAAGGCAGTAGCTTTAATGCTGAGTTTCGGGGACAGAAGAAATACCAAGTGCACGGGACTAAAAGCTAGGACTCAGGACCTAGTGGGATTCCCAGGTTGCATTTGGGTGTTATTTAGATTTTGCTTCTAAAACAGCCTTTCTCCTTCCCTTCCCTTCCCTTCCCTTCCCTTCCCTTCCCTTCCCT